GGAAAAGCAAGGCAGCCGGTGATGAGTAGATGGCACAGTGCCATTGCACAACTTCTTTGCTGGTTGCACTCATTCTTTTTTGCCTCCTTGTGAAACACTGAGCATCGGCTGCTGTCTGCATGTCAGCTTCAATAGGTCAGATCAGATGTGGCAGGTCTTGTGTTCCTCCTAAAGCTGGGTAAATCCTGCCAAAGTAGGAAGGGAAATGAGTGTTGTGTGTGCCTTTAAACTCCTGAAAAAATACTGTGCTTCAGCCAGCCCTGTGCCCCTTTTCATGTTAGCTCTCCCTGACTGCTCCAGCAACAGGAAAGCTTACAGATGTGAAATGTTAGCATCCATGCAAAATACACCAGTAGGATACAGCAGGAGCTGAGGGTTTCTAATATCCATTGCCAGAGCCTTGACACAGAGGGAAATAAATAAAACCCCAACAAGGGTCCGTCCCCCCCATTCGGGCAGTGCAATGGTGCACGCACAGTTAGGTGGAGAGAATTTGAGCACCCGAGCAGCAATGCTTGGGATCACTTGATTTCCTCCTCTAAGAATGAGGGACTGGGAAACGCAGAAATGAAAAAGCTTAATGTTTCCTACAATTCCCAGGGTGCTCTATCTGAAAGATTTAAAGCTCCCTGCAGCAGCTGAAGACTTCCATCCTGATGCAAAGCGTTCTGTTCATCCCAGTCAGCAAACAGCAATAATGCCATGTGACCAATGATCTGTTATACGGCTGAGCTGTAATTTCGAGCTTAGACTCCACTAATGCTTGTATCAATCTGGAGGGGGGGGGGTTTCTTCAAAAAAAAAGAAAAGAAAGAAAGCTAAAAGTAAATTCTAAAACAAGTAAATGTGATGGAATCTCAATCTGCTTGTAGGCATTTTGCAAGCAAAATGCTAATTAGCCCAGTAAATGACTCTCTAGCAGCATTGGATTTATAGAGGAGGAACCTGTTCCCTATGCACAGGCACAGATCGCATCCATTTAAGGAGCGGCAATTCCAACCCAAATGCTGTGGGGATTCCTTCTCTCTCGGTCAGGTTTGTTACTATGGAGTCTTGTGCGTTGCTGCAAAGTGCACGTAAAATGATTGGTGGGAAGTACTGGAGCGCCTCTGCCCTCCCAAGCCAGGGGCATGCAGTAGCATTAGGAGAATTGCCCCCTGTCCAGCTCGGCTTTCATTTCCGGTCTGCGTGGTTTTGGGGAGCAGAAGGCTGCAACACTGCAGCACTTGTTGGGGCAGTGGCTGTCCTTCTCGCACTGCCAGTATTGCTCCCCATAACATAAGCCAGTCTCCCAGGATGCAATATGCCTGTTCCCTTCTCAGGCTGCTTTTCAGCCCAAACTTTGGACGTTGGCTCAGATTGTGAACTTACCTTGTCCTGTTAATTCAGTGCTGGGGCCTGGGTATGTAGACACCTCCCTTCTCAGTTTCCATGCAAGTTAGGGAGATTTTTAAATATCACTTGTGACTCCTTAGCCTAGATGCCTAATTCCAGGGAGGATCCCCACCTGGGAGAGCACAAATGCACTTTTCAGTGACAAGCGGATGTCAGATAATGCTTGGAGATTTCACCTGTTCTCTCAGGATGTTCATTTGTACTTGAAGCAGAGCAGGCTGCCCTACCGCTCTGTGGCAGCTTTATAAAATGAAGTATGCCATCGGAACCCCAATTAGCTGTCATCTCCTCCTGATTGTCTCCGTTCTAGCATGACGGAGGGACCGGAGTTGGGGAAAAAAAATCACATTTACAATGTGCACTTTTCAGTCACTATCCTGTCACACACCTGGTGTGTAACCTGGCCAGCTTAATTGGGTAAGTAGATTTGAAAGACTAGTTCTGCTTTCTATTGGCATCAAGGTAATCCACCTTTCAGCTGCAATTGTAAAACAGATTGAACACCTGAGGTTATTAGAGATCTGGGGTTTCTCTTCCTAAGAGCAGGAATTTTAACTGTGCTGTGGCACCTAAAACCCATCACATTTTGTCTAGCTACACCTTTCCTGGGGGCTGTTCTTTTCACTACCCGTGCTTTACTATTTCTGTGCGGCGTTGGTGGAACCGCTACCGTGTTCCTCCCCAGCTGGGGTTGCACAGGTATCGAGTACAACGAGTTGTGTTCTATAGAACATACATATTCGTATGGTATTTTGAAACCCTTGGATGAAAAATGTAAGTGTCATGGGGAGAGACAGAGGGGCGGACCCCGAGGAGCCAGGGGGGAACCCTGGGGCCAGGAACCCGCCGAGGAAAGCAAAAGTAAAAGAAAAGGAACAAAAAACTTCTTACTGGCAGCAGTATCCACGGCGAAGCTGAAAATGGAGGTGGGACCTGAGCGGCTCATTAGCCGCATCTTTATACAGCTGCAGCCAGCGGATAACGCAAGTGGCAGGAGCCGGCTGGCGGATATAAAAGAAGCCGCTGGCGAGGAAGAAGGGGAGACCTGCAGGGACCTTAGCAGGGAGAATTCTCCCAGAGCTCCTACGGGGGAGAAACGGGTGGGGAGCTGCCTCTCCCAACACGGGTGAGTGCAGCGAAGTCCGCCGTGGGAATAACGCTGCCGGCAGCAGCACAGAGAGCGAGGAAGCAGTTGCCACTCGCTCAGACCGAGGACCTGGCTCGGAAGACCAGAAAGAGCAGAAGGAGTGTGACACAAGGAGCTACTACCGAGGAGCCAGAGGGAACAGCCACCACCAAGATGCCAGACTAGGTGGGATCGTCCTGGTCTCTGGGGGGCTTGAGGAGGCGCCCCAGGTAGGGGACGAAGGGCATAAACAGCACAAGGGGGCTGCAGAAGATGGGTCCCAGTGGCATAGAGCCTCCCCCGATGAGGTACGTGGGGGAGGTGCGCGGAGAAGGGCCACCACGGGTCCAGGGAGCCCACAGGCAGGACAGAGAGTGAGGAGGGGAGCGCTGAAGCCTGCAGTCTAGCCCAGACCCAGTTTAGGGCTAACTAGGGATCCCGGGCATCTAAAGCCTGGCGTTGGTGGGCAGGCTGTGAGTGTAGATAGGCAAGAGGGCAGAGGGGCCCCCCTCCCCCCCCGCTTTTGCATATCTTCCTATTTTTTTTGTTGTTGATAACTTTTTTTGTTTCCCACTTTTGGAGGCGTTGTGGTGCAAGGCATCTAGAGCCCAGATGTTGCTTAGGCCTAGAAGGGGTTACTATCCCCTTAGGCAAGGCAGAGGTTAGGTGCTGTTGGTGAAGGTAGGGTTAGGCCCCACAGGCTGATATCCATCTCAGCAAGCATACGCAGAGCCTCAACAGTTGGGGAAACCGGCTGAAGAACATCTTGAACCTATCAAGGCAGGGTGTAAGGGCGAGGTAGAGGGGAGGTGGAGCCTTGCAGAAGATCGTCATACAGCTGCCCCATAATCGAGAGACCCTGACAGTCAGACACCCACCACTAGAACAAGATCCAAAGTCGTGGCAGGCGAGATTGGGGAGAGGTTAGTTGGGAAAGAAACATCTACTCGGCGAGCCAGCAGGGATGGACAGACAAACACCCCCGAACATCCAGGGCCGCGCAGCACATGACCAGATGTTCGAGACCAGATGGGCACAGTAAGGAACAAAGTTCTGCTAGTCGTGAAATGCAGTGATTGCTAGGAGAATACAAAGAAAGAGAGTCTTGGTAAAATATCATCATCTTAAATTTGCTAGAGAGTCCCAGCTTTATTAAGGCAGAGGCTTAATGGGCTGACATGCTTATATTTCATGAGTGCCCTTTTGTCAAAAGGTGTAACCTCCTCCGTGCATAGTGAAGAGGTCACGAAGCAAGGGGGTAACAGTTGGATCAAGGACATTCACATTCTGGGAACTGTTCCCCAAGGGAACTTCATTAACAGCAGAGAAGTGAATCTTTCTCAGCTTCTTGCAAGTATTGTCATAAAGCACCAAATTACACAGGTTTTTTTTGTTTCTTTCTTTCTTGAGTTTTGCATTAATAAAACTTTGCCGTTGCCAAAAACAAAACTCAAGACATGGAGAGAATGCAAATGTTGATTATAGTATATGAAATGGTAAATGCCAGTATTAGCATCCAAAGCTCTGTTGCACCTTGTGAAATAAAAGAGGATACTTTCCTTGAATATTTCGAGTTTAATAATAGATAGAAGTTTTCCATGGAGTTCTACCCATTGTGAATCAGAATGTCTTTGTCTTAGTTTTTCCCCCCTAGGTGGGAAGAAATGGATGCTTTTGACAGCCAATTTTAATTTTTGCCCTGGTGCCACAAAGGGAGAACTTCAGTAGTTCTGAAGCCTGCAATGAATGGTAGTTAAATGTTTTATCACTGATGGGATTGTGTGAATTGGCAGCCTGCATATTTTACATGGTTAGCAAAAGACTGTGCTGTAGAATACACTATCACCAGGACTGGATTTTCTGAAGACCTTGATTTCCCAGGAAAAGAGACATTGCATATTTTGGTGACGGTTGTTGTGGTGTCCAGGAAGAATTTTACTGCAGATGGACAGATCCTCAAGACCCCATAGTTACACCCAATGTGGGTCCATAATGGGAAGTAAAAACTGATTAGCCTTTACCCTACAGGCACCAGAAGTTTCACCTCCATGTTCATCCAGCTGTTGGCTTTGCTGAGGCCTGCCACCAGATAGGCAGTTCATGCCAGTTAGAAACTGGACTCAAGCTGCAAATGCATTGCACTCAGGCCACCAAGCACTCATCAGATGAGAATGGCTTTGTATTATTGCCAACCTGCTGACCCAGAGGTAGAGAAAACCCACTTTATATTCCTAGTGCAATTCATCATCTAAGCCTGTTGTTGAAAGCTGAAGTTTTCAAATAGGACCTGAACAGTAAACATGCTTCTAAAGTTCTGGAGTGTTTGTCTCTGGTTTTATTTAATTTAAAGTGCAGACTTATTTTCTGTTTCCTACCAAACCTGTATACTGATTGGACTTGCCTGCCAGTGAATTAGAGAAGTGACTATCTATCTGTGTTTGCTAAAACGTGTCTGTCTGTCTTTTTTTTTTTTTAACAGGATCCAACAGCTGCATCCATCTCTGACAGAGACTGTGCTACAAGGGAAGGAGAGACTGTAGCTATGAACTATAAGCCGTCCCCACTCCAAGTGAAACTAGGTGAGTCTCTGTGTGCTAGCACAGAGTGGTATCTTGTGTATTTTAAAATATGTAGGGCTGCAAAAAAGGTGCAATAAGAGTTCAGTATGGTAGGAAGTTATGTGACACGACATTTATGTCCCCACTGTTGCTGCTGAGTGCTCCAGTTCTGCTCAGACAACTTTGCAAAATGGCTTACAAATCTGACCATAACCCAGACAGTGTGCTGGTAAGAACAGCTTTTTTCATTATCACATCGAAGCTTCTATAATTTAATATCTGTAACTACAAGGGACAGTGTAGCCTTTTGCCTCTAAGAGGTGCATCAAAGCAAGTTCAAGCCTAAGCCTAAGCAGGAACAAAGGTACTATAGAGAAGACTATAAGAGGGGATATGACTGGGGACTCTTTGTGAGGAATTCTCTCCGGGACTGTCACCAGAGCGGATCCAGAGAATAAACAGTGTGCTATGTGCTGGGGCAAAGATAGCAGATATGGACCCGAGACTGAAAAGGAGGATCACTGTAGCACCAGAGAAAAATCCACCTATCAACCTTTGTGGCTGGGACCAATGATTCTGCTAGATTATCTCTAGAACAGATAGCGGAAGACCATAGCAGGCTCGGGAAGATGCTACAAGAAATGGAGGTTCTGGGGCTCTTCAGTGGGATCTCCTAATCCCAAGAGAAGGAGGGTAAAGACGTCTTAAAATAATACAGAACAACAAATGGCTCAAAAGCTGGGGTTGGAAGGGGGTTGTAGGAAGTCTGACCACTGGCAGCTGTGCTTGGAAAGAGGACTCTTCTCAACAGATGGTCTCCGTCTGGGTATGCGTTCTTCTGGTCTTCTCAGGTTGAGTCTGGCATGATTGATCAGAAAAGCTTCAATCTAAGGAATGAAGACAAAAGACTGGGAGAAACTTGTGTAAACTCCATGCCTGGCTTTAGTCTGCAGGCAGAGAAAAAGTCAAGTAAGTGAGGATATGACACTGGATGAGGAGTATTGGAGCATAGGGTGATAGGCAGCAAAGAACAAGAAGGAAGAAGACTGCAGTTGGGTCAGCAGTAAACTTGCTGAAAGGACTGTCCCTCATCTGGCTAGAAAACTGGGGGGTTGGTCAGGACAAGCAAGGTCGTAATGGACCTTGAAAGTGCCCAAACAGGACTTGGGCAGAATTTAAGCACTCAGATCTCAAGGGGTGATCCAGATTAACCCTGTCCAGCCGCTACAAAACTGTCTAGGCACATGGAGTCATTAAATACCTTATCTTGGCCCAAAAAGATGCTTGGCACCCAGAGTTAGACTGCTGCGCATGCTTATAAGCTATCTACACCGGTCACCAAAGTGCCTCACTGCCATCTAATCTCTGTTATAATCCAGATCATGGCAAATGACCATGCCAAGATGCAGCTCAGTAGCAAACAAGAGTGGTGGTACCCTTCTTCCCAGTAGCCTAATGATTACACCACTCACCCAGGAAGAGGAAAACCCCTTCAGCCTGACAGCGATTTGAGTCCACATCTGCCACCTCCAGAAAAATACCCTAGCTACCAGTTTATAGAATAAGCTGGTGAGGGCACTCTTTACCCCTCCTGTTAATTGTATCAGGTTTCCGCACACTGAACCCACTCATATTGAATCACCTTCCCATGCCAGGAGCCAGTCATTTAGAAATGCAAAGCTCAGGTATAGGTACCTTAAGAATCAATTTGAATCCTGGTCTGGTCCTGAAAAATAAACATGAATTGAGAAATCCCCAGCCAAGTTGGTTTAAATGGATAAAGAAAAGTAGGTCTGTAGTGTAGGTTCTCAGTTTCAACAGGGAAAACTTTGAGAAGCTAAAGGAGCTAGTTAGTGAAGTCAGCTGGACTAAGGACAGTAGAATGTGGAGAAATATTTTACACTGTTAATCTAAAGAAATTTGAAGCTATCAGGAATTTATATCCCAAAAGTGGGGGAGAAATAGGTAGGAAAGGACTTCAGAGGAATCTGTATTAATAACCATCTCAAGAAGAATTCCAGGAATAAGCTGATGGTCTACAAGGAATAGGGAAGGACAAATCACAAAAAGCTATGGTTCAGAGGGCAAGAAGTGTGGGGGCAAAGTGAGAACTGCTGGCAGTCAAGCCAACTTGGACCTTGAGAAGGATATTGAACACACAGGAAAAGTTTCTTCATACACATAGAAAGAGAACAAGAAAAGAATCGTAGAAAGTTAGGTCTGGAAGGGACCCCTGGATGTCATCCAGTCCAAACCCCTGCTCCAGGCAAGATCACCCCATCCAAACGATCCCATACAAGTCCTTGCCTAACCTATTCCTGAAACTGCACAATCAATACAAGACACATTGCCCCAAGACCACCCCAGCCTGCCACAGGAAAGCAAGAGGACAAGGATTGTCATTGTCCTGCCACTGCACGGGTTGTTAAAATCCATTTGAGAGATCCAAAGCAGAGGGTCACTCCCCCTGCTAGAGGAAGGTAAAACCCTCCCGCCCAACCCACCTTTCCATGTCAGTCTGACCATGGGATAAAATTCCTGACCCCAAATGCAGCAATTGGTCTGCCCCTGCATGGAGGGCAAAACCCTCTAGCCAGGAACCACCAGGTTTTATTTCTGTTGGAAGCACTGGCACAGTCCAATCACAGCCATGGCATCTGCATGCCATTTTATAAGGATAGGGTGGGGGTACTAGGTATGGTACATATACTAAACAAGCACTCTTGCAGATCTCAATAAAGACCTGGGGAGCAAAGGCATGATGGCTAATGAGAATGAGGGTATGGCAATGGAAACTGCCACAGCCAAAGTGACAGCAAGTCTCAACGAGCTCAATGCATTCAGTCTGGCAGGGGGGTCACACTCGCAGATGTTTAAAAGAACTGGTATCTGAAGTGAGAAGAGCAAGTGTCCTGCCTACATGGAAGAAGGGGTTAAAAAGCAATCCAGCCTGATCCTGATAATATGAAATTCTTTAGCATATGTTTTGAAGGAAAAATAATTCGGCACATGGTAGTAAATCAGAGATGTGGGGAGGGAGGGAACAGCATGGGTCTACCAAGGGTAGGTCATACCAGACTCACTTGATATTTCTGTGACAAGACAGTTGATATCACATCAAAGGAATTATAAAACATCTATCATTTGGACTCGAGTGAAACATTTGATATATGGTTCCACTTAGGGAAGTATTAGTTAAGACAGGGCTTAGTAGAACAGTTACACGGTATGCAAAGCACTGGCTAATGGGGAGCCCACACTAGGTTTGTCAAAAGAGGGAGTGGCAGGCTGGAGGAAATTACTAGTGGAGTTCCTCAAAGATCAGTCTGAGGGCTGATCTCTCGTAGTATGTCCATTTATCAGAACAGGAAGTAGAAGCATATTCAGGAAATATGCGGGTGACCTAAAGCTAGAAGGCAGTGTTGATGCTGAGGAGGATCAGGATATTGTTCAGGAAGAACCAGATGACCTGGAGGCACAGAGTAGTCACAGAATCCCAAACCAGGAAAGGCCCTCAGGAGACATCTCCTCCAGCACCCTGCAGGATGTGCTGCTCCTAACCCATCCCCAACAGATGCTATCCAGGCTCTTCCTCCTCCTCTGTTCGGTATTTGTAATGGAAAGAGGGTAAAAAAAGAATTAAGTGTAACATTAGCAATTGAAGATCAAAGAGCACTATTTTTTCCTAAAAACTGGGAGCTCAGGAGTCAGAAATGACTGAAGAGGAGAAAGACCTGAGTGTACCAGGATACAGGCAGACAGAACAGTTATATCACAATATTACGTTAAGCGCGGAGTCAATAACTGAGAGAGGTTGTGGACTCTCCGCCCTTGGAAGTTCCTAAGAGCAGGTTAAAAACACATTTGGCTGCAATGGTTTAGACAGAAGTGATCCTGCCTTGAGCAAGGGGTTGGTGACAGCTTGAGGTCCCTTCCAGCCCTATTTTTCTTTCATCCTGTATCAGTGTGGAATGATCCTGGTCTAAACTGTGACCACGTCGCTGGTTGCTGCTTGCTCCTGCCAATACCGGAGTAGCAAAACCGTTGCAACTTTGCCCCTGAATAATGCAAGGTAAAAGCAATTGAGCTGTAAGAGCATGCAAACCTACCAGTTAAATCCTAACAGCTGATGCTTTCTTTGGAGGTAACTAAAGCAGTTTAAAATGACATCTGTCTGTAGCCTCAGCCAGTCATAGGATGGTACGAGCCCTAACAGTGTAAGATGGAGCCTGATAAGTTTATAAACAAGATCAAACCATACAGCTGCCCGCCAGGAGGTCCCTTCAAGTGCTGTGTTCCTGCAACATAAATGTTTAGTGCTGATAAATGCTCTGCTGGTACAGGTGAAATCAAGCAGCTGCTTGGAGGAAGCCAAGGCTTTCGCTTAGGGCGTGCACTTAGTGAGCGTTGATTATATTTGTGTCCTGGCTCTGGTGGGAAGTCTTTTCCAGTGCAGCTAGTGCACGAAGTGTGCCTGGGCAGCTGTGCCAGTGGGCTCACATACATCCCACCTGTCCTGGCCAGGTCCATAGCCAGTCTTTGTTCCTGGCCGCTCGGAGAATCCTCAGGGTTTTATGGGGCAGGAGAGGAGTCACTTGATGTCCTGATGATCCATTGATGCTGGTCTTTAATCTTAAAAACTCATCTGACATGCAAGATTTTTTTACTCCACTTAGTGCAGCTGACTTCCCTTATTGCATTGCCTCTGTTTTTGTCTTTCCTCCACTTTATGCCTGGCATTGGGTCGTAAACTCATTGGGGTAGTGACTGTGATTTAATCTCTTTGAGAGCCCCATAGAAAGTTATAGAACTGTATAAATGTTTAATAGCTTAGCTTGAAGAGTTATTGCCCGGTCATTTTAGGGAGCAGGGTTCTGGTCCTATTGCAAATGTTTCATATGGATAGCAGCATTAACCTTTCTTTAGTGCTGTTATAGCATAATCAATTGTTGTAATGGCAAACCCAGTCCCCTGTTCTGACAGTGGATTGATAAATGTCCTTTTTCCTTTACGAAGTTTTG